TTTTCCAGCCATTTTTTCAGCTAGGCTATAGAGGGTTGACCAGTCAGAGATGGGTACCAGGAACAGCAGGGCAAGGGTTGACTGAGTTACAGAGTCTTTCATAGCGACATGTTTTTCTGTGCCGTCAGCCAGCCTGTTTCTAATAGTCACGTGGGCTTCGCCATTCTGGTGGGCTGGGCAATGGACGATGCTAACTTGGGCAAGAGCCCAATCGCCAGGTATAAGCGCCAACAGGTTATAGGGGTTAGACACCACCAGGTGAATTGTCATGACTTCCTTATTGACTGTCCTGAGGTCCTGAACAGGTTGGTAGTCTGCCATGCCCACAAAGTCATCTCCTCTACTGGCTCAGTCATAAATCTGATCAAGGGTGGCAAATCTCTCAGGTTGTATGCCAACTATCTTATGACTTCAGATTGTCTTCCACTTCTGACTTCATATTGTCTTTCTCTTCTTCACTTCACATTGTCTTTCTTCTTCACTTCATATTGTCTTTCTCTTCTGGTACTGGCTCTAGCAGAAGTGGGACAGGCCTGGTTTCAGTTCAGTGTGGACCAGAGGCCTGTTCAGGGCAAGAACAAGGGGGTTATGTGCAGCCCATATACCATAAGGGGGTGTCTACGATTCCTGGTGGTAATGAGGGTGCATCCATGAGGGCCTTAACAACAAATAATCTCCATTCTACCTCTTTTGGGACAGATGCAGACATGATTCAAAGGCTATGTGGGAGGTCAAGATCTGTGCTACCGTTTGGAGGAAACGTGATCTTTGCTTGGAAATTGGAGAGGACATCTCTCCCTAGGAGTTGAATGGGACAGGAGCTAGTGTACAGGAACTAGTGTTGAATGACATGGCCTCCCAAATTGCAGGTTCTCGTACAAATAGTTTGGTGACAAGCTTACCAGTGGCCCCTACTATAGTGACAGCCTGTCCAGATGCGGGGCAATGGGTTTAGTCATAACAGAGTGTTGGGCCCCAGTGTCGACCATGAAGCGACTTTTCTTTCCCCTAATGGACTGAGTACAGGTGGTGTGGGTATAACAGATGGGGTACACTCAGGGTGTTTAGAAGGTGTATCTGAGGTAGGCAAGTGCTCTGGCAGGTCCTCCAGGGGAGGAGGAGGCAAGGGCAGGTTGGCCAGGTCAGGGTTTATAGAGAAATAGCAATGGCTGATGGAACTGGGGGACGGAGTAGGCCGACGGACCCTGCAGACCCATGTTAAGGAGGGTGTAAAGAAGGCCTCTGCTAACAGAAAAATAGTTTCACACTATACTTCAGCAATGGTAGCCATCTTGTCTCAACACTGGCACCATTTTCTCACCTGAAATAACATACAAAAGACATACATGTTACTTGTTGCCAGGCGTCAATGTAAGGAAACTGATCAAATTAGAGCATGAACCTGAGCAAATAAATCCAAGTCCAAACTACCTTCATATGGCCAACCACAACAAATAACGGGTCATTCCCGTTCACACAAAATAATCAGCCGTTTAGGATACATTTTAAGCCCATAATCAGCTCAATAACCTTCCTGAAAGTTATTGACCATACAATGTAGGGGCCAGAATTATTTAGATCCCCATCACCCATAATGCCAGACAATAAAATCACTGGGCACACAGAGCAAACAAATACCCCTTCACAATATAACCCTTTTTACATTTAGACAAATGCCTAAATGCCTGGGTGAGTCAAAACCCCCCTCCCTCTCAAGCAGAAGACAGAGCTCTTGCAGCTGTTCTCTTATCAGTAAGCACAGTGATCCACCAAAAACAAAGGGCATTCCCCTGACTGGCAGCCAAACACACACATACAGGCACTACCCCAACTCACATCACACTCAGCCACACATATATAAACAAATCCCAATACCAGAACCAAGTAACACAATACCAGAACCAAGTAACCAAAAACCAGAAGCAAGTGGCCAAAAACCAGAACCAAGTGCTATACAAATAGCAGAGGGTGATCAAGCCTCCCTTCTCTCCTAATGGGAGAGGGCAAACCAATAACAAGACTAGAAACTTACCATGAATCAGACGTTTGCTTGTTTCGCGACCCGGAAAAACAGTCTCCACAGGGTCCCCGTTACTTGTGGTTGTCCGAGAGCGCATTATTTATTCTGGTATTTTGACATTGGCATTGTTTTTGACTTTCTTGTTTTCTGGCATCCCTGACTCCTGGCTTTTCCTTATCGTTGTGTCTCTTTCTGTATCCCTTGACCTTGGCTATTCCCGACTATTCTTTGGTACGTTAGTCCGGCCATTCTAAGGTCCGGTATACGTTACCTATCAGTCCTCTGTGTTACACAATTCTGCGTCATCATTCTGTAATGATCTTTCTGTAATCCTGACACATTTAAATTCTCTACTAGGGACATTAAAAGGCTCTGTAAGGGACATTAAAATGCTCTGTCAGGGGCATTGGAATTCTCTGCTAGAGACATTAAAAGGCTCTTTGAGGGGCATTGCAATTCTCTGTTAGGGACATTAAAATGCTCTGCCAGGGGCATTCAAAGACTCTTTGAGGGGCATTGAATGAGTCTGTGAGGGGCAAAAAACTGTTAACTGTGTTTTTCAAAGTGTTCATATCTTTTTGCTCCAAGTCTAATTCAAAAATCCTGCTTAAGTTCAGTTCTTTCTAAGAGCGTTATCAAAATCAGTCATGTTGTGAGATCTGTATTTTTCTAAGTGTTTTGTTTATTTTTACCAATAAACAACCATGAATTTGGAAAGCTGGTTAAAGTAGGAAACTCTTCGGAGAAAAATTATTACTTCTTCTACCTGTTTGGCACTTATAGAAACTGAGAAAGAAGATATAAATAAAAATCCAGAAAACATGCCTGAAATAGTTGTATCTACTGTTCCTCAAAAACAGAGACAAGTGACAAGTCAAATGAAAAAAAATGAACAGCACACAATGCTAACCTATCTTTTTCTCAAAGAAAAGAAAATATGATAGCTACTTGTCGTTTGGATTCACAAGTGCCAGAAATGAAGATTGTCCAGGCGCACAATGCGTACTTTGCAATAAAATATTGGCAAACAGTTCATTAGCACCTGCTAAATTACGTAGTTATTTTGAGCAAAACCATGCAGAGTACACTGACTTTAAAGCAAAAGCTAAAGGAGTATCAGAAGAGTAAACAATTTAAGAGCAAAATATTTCAAAATGCTAATGAAAAAGCCACAGAGGCTTCTTACAGAGTGAGTCACCGCATAGCACTTGCAGGAGAAGCACACACAATTGGAGAATCACTAATAAAACCATGTGCAAGAGAAGTTGAGTAAAACATTGGAAGCTGTACCACTTTCGAACAACACAGTTTTGCACCATATTCATGATCTTGCTGATGACATCCATGCTGAACTAATTTCTTGACTGCATTAATGTTATGGGTACTCACTGCAATTAGACAATTCCACAGACCTTGCAAGACTTTCAATTTTGTTGGTTTTTGTTAGATATAATTTTGACAAACAGATTGAAGAAGACTTGCTTCTGTGTGAAACTGTGAAAACTCATACCACTGGTGAGAACATCTTTAACTGTATCCAGAAGTTCATGAACACACACAGTATAATTTGGGACAAATGTGTAGATTTGCGCAGTGATGGTGCCAAAGCAATGGTTGGTAAAGTGGCGCTGTAACACAAAAAAGAAATGTAGCAAAAAACAGCATCAGTTCTCACTGTGGTATTCACAGACATGCACTGGTAGCTAAAAATATTTCAATCTCACTTAAAATTGTGCTAGACGAATCGGTCCAGATTGTTAATTTTATAAAAAGTCCACCATTACAGTCACAACTATTTAAAATTATATGTGAAGATATGGGTAGTCACCATTCTGCTCTGCTTTTGCATTCAGAAGTCTGTTGGCTATTACGAGGTAAAGTCCTTGTTAGAATGTTTGAATTGAACTAGATTTGGCAATTGCCACACCACAGACAGGAAGGACTTAGGGAACACACACCTGACGACAGACGACGACTGACTACCCTCACACCCCTCCCTACCCCAACCCTAACTTCCCCCCCCCCTCCAGAGGAAAGCCAAGAGACAATAACCCCAATCCAAGTAGACACACAAGCCAATAAGAGGGCACACATGAGACTTGAACATAAAACTCACAAGGAGTCGGGTCACTATCCCGACCAGTAAGTCGGACGAGAGGCCGACGAGCCTCTGTATAGCCCGCACACAAACCACAACTGCAGTAAATGTAATGAACCGTAATTGAGAAATGCTCGTAAAATAAGTTAAAAGGGACTTGCAAGTCCGTCAACATTGTGGGCCTGCGAGCCCGACTAAAAGTTACTGTTTTTATATATTTCAAATGCCTTCTTATCCTTTGATAACTCACCTTGGAGACCTGCGAGTCTCCGAATCTTGACTAACCAATACAAATAAAAATTATATTCACAAAAAAAGAATGTTTGAATTGCATCAAGAGTTGTTTGCATATTTCCAGGATCATAAATTTGGATTATCTGATCGATTAACAAACACTTTGTGATTATCCAAAGTTGCATATCTTGCAGACATATTCACAAAATTAAATGACATATGTTTTATCACTCCAAGGAAAAATAACTAATTAAGTGTTCTTGCATAGCAAGACCACTTAATATTATCACACACATATATTATTCTTATTCTTATTATAGCCAAATTTATCACCCTAACTCCTTCCACAGTTTTTACACTACATAGACAGTAATATCCCGAAGTGTGTGGATTGTTCCCGATTGGTGTGCTATTACTTTGTGGAACATTTTGCTGAATGGTTCACGAAATATCATAATTTTTGTGGCAAAATTGGTCCCATAGGAATGAATTCCGAAATGTTCAACACTAGAGTGGGAGCAGGCACTTGGCATACGCCACTGACAACATAAGAGAAGATTTATAAGGCCTCCGGGAAGACGCCCACTCCTCCATGAGGGGACAACAGAACGTATGACACCCACGTGCACGTTCTCCAGATCAGGCCACGGGACTTAACGCTGGGCTCAGAGGGGCCAGCGGACCCACCCTGACACCCTAGCGTTTACTAGAGGTAATACCTGACCGCCTTACTGCAACGAGACTCACGGGCCCGACACCCGACTATAACACCCGCTACATGGTGACCGGCACGTCACCAGTGCTGGTCTTGCAGACCGTCATTCCTTTCCAAAGGCTGCTCATGTCCCACCCTACGTGGACCTGCGAGTCCACACTGAAGTTCGCATAATGTGACTTAACAAACGGGGCAACTGAATGCAAACGTCACATCAGCTTAGGGACAGGAACAGCATGCTGTAAGGGACCTGCGAGTGTGGGCCTGCACGCCCGGTTGGCCGATACAAAAAAGCTATGCACATGTTGTACTTTGTTTATTGTGCCCTAAAGGCTTACGGAGACCTGCGAGTCTCAGTGTGACTAATTCTCGACAATATAAACCGAAATAAAAACATATTTAAAAAAAAAAAAAAAAAACTAGAGTGGGAGCTGACAAAAGCTAGAGTGTGAACTGAAAAATCAGGACATGATTTCTAAACTGCTACCACTCCCTCATTTTTAAGCCCACCTACACAAACCTTATATCAAAACTTTCAGCTATCCCTGCTGCCACTAAACATGTCCACGACTAAGCCATAGTCCTGATAGTTTTCACAATATTTGCAACTCACACGTTGGTGGAACGTTCGAGGGATTTGAAAGCTCTTCTCTGCCCTTGCTGTAGAGTGAGTGAACCACACTCCAACCTTTCCACAGTTACTCCAGCCACTTCAACCACACAACAGTTACTCAATCCATTCCACCCACTTACTTCGCCCACTCCAGTTGTAGACTACTGGTGGAGGCAAGAACACTTCACACAATTTCCCCAGAAATTGTAGCTTTTCATAGCAAGACCACTTAATATTATCTCACATATATATTATTATTATTCTTATTATAGCCATATTTACCACCCTGCTCCTCCCACAGGTTTTACACTACATAGACAATAATATACCGAAACGTGCGGATTGTTCCCAATTGGTGTGCTATTACTTTGTGGAACATTTATCTCACATATATATTATTCTTATTGAGCAATTATCTCACATATATATTATTATTCTTATTGAGCAATTTGGAGCAGTTTGTTTTTAACCGCTGCCCTTGCTGTAGAGTGAGTGAACCACACTCCAACCTTTCCACAGTTACTCCAGCCACTCCAACCACACAACAGTTACTCAAGCCACTCCACCCAGTTACTCTGCCCAATCCAGTTGTAGACTACTGGTGGAGGCAAGAACACTTCACACAATTTCCCCAGAAATTGTAGCTTTTCTAGTATTTTTAATGCAAGAGATAAAATATTTTCACTGTCTTGTAAGCTGCAGTTTTGGACCTCATCTGTCAAGCAAAATAATTTGAACTCTTTGCCAACACTTTTCTTGAAGAATCAGAAATTGAACTTGAAGATGAAATTCGCAATGAAATTGTAGATAATCTTCGCCATTCAATCACATCTATTAATTAGTATTTTCCATTCTTGAATGAAAACAATAGTGATTAGGTTCGAAATCCATTCATAAAAGACAAGCCAGCCAATTTTTCTGATGTATATTTTGAGAATCTGATCGATATAACTTCTGACAGTCAACTAAGCCAAAAATTTAAAGAAGGTTCTCTTATTGCTTTTTGGGGTGATTTACGTGAAGAATAGCCAGAATTGTCCAAGCGGGCAATCAAAGTTCTGTTGCCATTCTCCAGCACATACTTATGTGAAACTGGATTCTTGCTTTACTCTGCAACAAAAAAAAGTATAGAAATCGACTTGACGCAACTGCAGACGTGCAAATACAATTGTCAACAATTAAACCAGATATAAAAAGAATTTGCCAGCAAAAGAGAACATTACACTCTGCTCATTGACAGGTTTGCGCTGCGCTACTCTACGGCACACATTTTTTTTTGTTGGAGTACCAAAGTTTTGCTATACCATGTCAAAGGGTTTCCAAGGGAAAAATTACTTGGGAAACCCTGGTCTACACTGACCATTAACATCTGCCATCCTTTGTAGTGAGTGGACCTAAACTATTTATCACATTATACTCTACTGGTCAAGGGTTTATGGGACAATGAAAATACAAGAAGACCAAATGAGAAACTTGTGATTGGTGGAACCCTTTTTCAGTTTTTAAATTAAGTTAAACTTTTAAGAAATTATTCTAACCCTCTTTATATAAGCAGCTACACTCATCCTATATAATGACTATACGTCAACTATTCATCACATTATACTCTACTAGACAAGACTTTATTGGGCAATAAAAATCCACAAAGACCAAATGAGAAACTCCTGAATGGTGGAGCCTCTTTTATAGTTACGTAGTTACATAGCTGAAAAGAGACTTGCGTCCATCAAGTTCAGCCTTCCTTACATACGTTTTTGCCTGTGATCCAAAAGAAGGCAAAAAAAACATTCTGAAGCGCTTCCAATTTTGCAACAAACTAGGAAAAAATTATTTTTTGACCCCAAAATAGCAGTCAGATATCTCCTTGGATCAAGCACCTATGACCCCACTAATTAGAAATTATATCCCTGTATTTTATGTATTTGCAAGTATTTATCCAATTGCTGTTTAAACATCTGTATGGAATCTGATAAAACTACCTCTTCAGGCAGAGAATTCCATATCCTTATTGCCTTAGATGAAATCTCCTTTCTTCCAGCCTAAATGCGTGACCTCGTGTCCTATGTATAGCCCTGTTTATGAATAGATTTTCGGTTCAGGAAAGATTAGTCTGTTACTGTCTGCAACTGAATTTTACAGCATTTTTTTATTTTTTACAAATCATCATGTATTATCATGTATAGTCAATACAAATAAATAAGTACACCAATGGAATTACTAAAATAAACTCAACACTACTAATATTAATTCTGCTTGTATATATTCTGTTTATCTGTTCTCAGTGCTAGCCCGGCCACTCTAAGGACCGGTATGCACTTCTGTCCTGTCTCTGTCTGGGTTTGTGTGTTAGGGTTAAGCTAGCCTTGACACTCGGATGGAGTGTCATCCCGTTCATCCTTTCACACTGCAGAACCTGAGGAGGAGAGGGAGGAAACACCATCTGCATGTGTCCTTTTTACTGGGACTATAGCTCTATGTCCCTGGAAATACATGCGTATGTTCCCTAATCACTGCATGTGTTCCATGTCCCAGGGATTATATGTGTATGTTCTCCAATGATTGCATGTGTACCGGTTCCCTGGTGTATGTATGATCTCTAATGAGTGCATGTGTACCATTCTGCTTCTCTGTGATTACATTTGTATGTTTTTCAATGATTGCATTTTACTGGGTCCTTGGGGTTATATGTGTATGTGCCCCTTTCTGTGTCTCTGTATTACATATGCTATTGTGCTGCCTGGGTCAAGAGCAACATGCTGCCTCCCAGTCCCAGCTCCAAAACCTACTATGGACATGCTGCCTCCCAGTCCCAGCTCCAAAACCTACTATGGACATAGCACTTCTTACATTTTTTAGAACAGTGGACCTTAACAATTCATCCCATTATACTATACTGGACAAGACTTTATTGGGTAATAAAAATCCACAAAGACCAAATGAGAAACTCCTGATTGGTGGAATATCTTTCAGTTCAGGGAAGATCTGTCTGTTACTGACTGCAACTGAATTTTGCAGCATTTTATTATTTTCTTCAACTCATTATGTATTAGCATGTATAGTCAATACAAATAAATAAGTACACCAATCATATTACTAAAACAAACACAACAATACTAAAACTAATTCTACTTTCATATATTCTGCTTATCTATTCTCAGTGCTAGCCCAGCCACTCTAAGGACCGGTATGCACTTCTGTCCTGTCTCTGTCTGAGTTTGTGTGTTTGTGACACTGGGAGAGAGAGTCATCCCGTTCGTCCTTTCACCCTGCAGAACCTGAGGAGGAGAGGGAGGAAACACCATCTGCATGTGTCCTTTTTACTGGGACTGTAGCTCTATGTCCCTGGAATTACATGTGTATGTTCCCTAATCACTGCATGTGTTCCATGTCCCTGGGATTATATGTGTATGTTCTCCAATGATTGCATGTGTACCGTTTCCCTGGGATTATATGTGTATGTATGATCTCTAATGATTGCATGTGTACTGTGTACCATTTTGCATCTCTGTGATTACATTTGTATGTTTTTCAATGATTGCATTTTACTGGGTCCTTGGGATTATATGTATGTGCCTCTTTCAATGTCTCTGTATTACATATGCTACTGTGCTGCCTGGGTCAAGAGACAAGAGACAACATGCTGCCTCCCAGTCCCAGCTCCAAAACCTACTATGGACATAGCACTTCTTACATTTATTAGAACATTATAGTTAACTTCCCTTAATTTCTGTTTCTCTCACCCCAGAGTTAATATCTCTCTTCAATCACTTCTCAGGATGTTTCTCCACTCCTAATATTCCCTTTTCCCCTACATGTGTCCTATTCCCCATATTCCCTTCCCGCAATTGTGGCTGAGCTTTCTCCCTTAGTTTATTGTCAAACCATCTACTTGCCTTCACTACTCTCTGCCAATCAGTGCTGTCCATGTTGGTTTTACACTGAGCTGGTTAATAGCACCAAAATGCTTTGTCCAACATAATCATTACTAAGGGCAATGGGGAGTGGGGTAACCCCAGGTTGAAAATATGGACACTAGTCTTGAGGTGGTCTGGGACGCAGAGCTATGTGCACAGTGGGGACAATCCTCACTGAAGTCTGAAAACCTTTGCAATCATGTGACTGAACTTCAGTGATTGCCTCACAGCTGCGGGCGTAAGGAGGCTGTGGCAGTGGCAGTGACAGTGGATATGGCAGATGTCTAATTATGGGCTCTGCTTCCTCCATCCCATTGATTTCTGAATAGTAGGAACGTCTGTTCATTGTTTCCCATTCTCTAACTTCCTACTCTGACCATTAACACGTTCCATCCGAGGTCTGCTCTACGCATTTTACCCCAGAGCAGTATGTTTTTTTATTGTCATTGTTACTTCTCTCTTTACTATTTATTATTGTTATGGTTTTTTTAGTACCAGCACCCCACCTATCCTAGCATCCTCCTATTAATGTAGGATATCTTTATTTGACTGCCCATCATGCCATAGCTACTAATGCAAAGGCCAATGGATGAGATATTGTAAAGGCTCCCCAAATTATTTTTGGGCTCAAGCCCTTGGTGTTGTTCTTTTACCATAACCACACTCCTGCCCTTCACAGCATACTGCTGCTTAGAATGTACCTTTCTGATTGGCTGAACACTT